GTCTGAGAGGATGCAGGGTGCTATTTTGATTTTATTGTATCTGTTAAGAGTTGTTTTGTGACTGAGTATGTGGTCAATTTTGGAGAATGTTCCAAGAGTTTCTTAGAAGAAGGTATATTCTTTCATGTTTGGGCAAAATGTTTTGTAGATATCTGTTAGATCCATTTGGTTAATGACATCTGCTAGCTCCAGTATTTCTCTCTTCAGTTTTTGTCTGTATGACCTATCCATTGGTGAGAGTAGGGTATTGAAGTATCCCCTATCAGTGTGTGAAGGTCAATGTGTGATTTAAACTGAGTAATGTTTCCTTTAAAAATATGGATAGCCTTGTGTTTAGGCTGTAGGTGTTAACAATTAAGAGATCATCTTGGCGGATCTTTCCTTTGTTAAATATGAAAAGTCCTTCTCTGTCTCTTTTGTTTAATTTTGGTTTGAAGTCTATTTTGTTAGATATTGAAATGGCTACACCAGCTTGTTTCTTAATCCATTTCCTTAGAATATCTTTTTCTAACCCTTAACTCTGAGTAATGTCTGTCTTTGGTGTTGAAGTATGTTTCTTGTATGCAGCAGAAGGATGGAGCCTGATTTTGCATCTATTCTGTTGATCTGTGCTTTTTAATTGGAATATTGAGTCTACTAATATTGAGAGATATTAGTGACCAATGGTTGCTAATTACTGTTATTTTGCTGTTGGTGGTGATTGTGTGTGCTCTTTTCTTTTGTTCTTTTCTGGTGTAAGATTATTTATTTCTTGTGTTTTCATCCTTGGATTGGATGTTTCCTTCTAGAATCTTCTGTATAGTTGGACTCATGGACATAGTAGTTTGGGATGGTATCTGTTGTCTCTTGGAGTCTACAGGACACCGCCCCCAGGTTTTTCTGACTTTTAGAGTCTCTATTGAGAAATCAAGTGTAATTCTAATAGGTCTCCCTTTATATGTTAGTTGGCCTTTGGCCCTTGCAATATTTAATATTCTTTCTTTGTTCTGTATGTTTAGTGCTTTGATTATTTTGTGGCCTGGGGATTTTATTTTCATTTCTAACCTATTTGTTGTTCTGTAAGCTTCTTATACCTTTATAGGCACATACCTATATGCTCTATTTTTTTCAAAACAAGGTTTCTGTGTAGCTGTGGAGCCTATCTTGGCATTCGCTCTGTAGACCAGGCTGGCCTCGAACTCACAGAGATCTGCCATCCTCTGCCTCCTGAGTGCTGGGATTAAAGGCATGCACCACCAATGTCCAGCTGTATCTATATCCCTTTATATGTCTTCTTTGGGTTGAATTTTTCCATGATTTTGTTAAAGATATTTTCTGGATCTTTGAGCTGTTATTTTTCTTCTTCTATTTTACTATTCTTAGGTTTGGTCTTTTCATCATGTCCCAGTTTTCCTGGATGTTTTGTATGAGGAATTTTTTATATTTCACATTTTCTCTAATGTATCTATTTCTCCCATCATATCTTCTATGCATTAGATTATCTCTTCCATCTCTTGTATTCTGCTGGTGATGATTGCATCTCTCATTTCTATTTGCTTAACTAGATTTTCCATCTCCGGGATTCCCTCAAATTGGTTTTCTTTATTGCTTCAATTTCATTTTCAGATCTTAAACTTTTATTCATTTCCTTTCAACTTTTTTTTTGCTTTGTTTTGGTTTTCTGTTTTTTTTATTCTGTACTTTCTTGGCTTTCTTTAAGGAATTGATTCACTTCCTCCAATTTTGCTTGTCTTTTCCTGAGTTTCTTTAAGGAATCCATTCACCTCCTCTTTAAGGACCTCTATCATCTTCATAGTTTTTAAGGCAACTTTCTTTTGTTTCACCTGTGTTGGAATATTTCTGACAGAGACAGATTGCCCTAACTGTTGGTCATGTTGTTTTGCTGGCATCTAAGCATCTGGATTCTGGGTAATTACATAAAGATCTACTGTAGCTTTCTGAGTTTGTCTTTGTTGGATGAGTACTTTTTTTCTGTTGGTTTCGGTTCCTCTCTGATATTCTGGCTGAATTCATCTGAAATTCTCATGGTCAGCTTGTCCTTTCACATGCAGTTCTCATGGCTGCCTTGTCCTTTGGTTTGACAGGGTGCCTCTGCTGGAGTAGGACTATTCCACCTGGGATTATGGGTGCCAGTATGGCCTCTGGAGTTCTGGGTACAGATGTGGCCACTGGTAAAGGAGGGGCTTCTGCTACAGTTGTAGGCAGGATTTGGTTGTAAGGAGGGGAACAGTTGGGGATATTTTGAGCAGGCTCTAAAGGATATGCAGGCAGGGGTTGGGAGCTTACCTGATATTCTGGATGTATGTATGACTTCTGGTAGCAGGCCGATTCTACCTGAGTTGTGGGCCAAGTTATGGTAACAAGGAGATGAGATGCTGTTAGGAGTATGCTGGGTGGTCTGTGGAAAAGGGGTGGGAGATTCTTACCTATGGAACTATCAAATTTTGCAACTGTACATAAGATTAGAGGCTTAGTGAAGTTTCAACTGATTATGAAACGGTTCATAATTTAATATCATTTATCAATATAATAAATTCTCATATTTCTATTGTACATTTATACAAAATTCATACTTTGGATTTAATGTGTACTTTGGATTTAATGTGGTTTTCTTGGAGACAAGGTTTCTCTGTATTGTTTTAGAGGCTGTCCTGGAATTCTCTCTGTATAATGTGTCCATTTAATTTGAATTACAAGCTTTATTTATATCTTGCTAGTTTTTCATCATTTTCTTTCTCTGATTTAAAGGTTCAGTCAGATATTTGTGTTGCATTACATGTCAAATACCCTTAGTTTCCTTCAGTATGTTACTGTCCTTCTGCATTCTTAAAAAAAGGCCCTAATAATTCTTAAGAGTTTGGTTTTGGCCACTTTCTTTGTGGGAAGTCCTTCAATTTTTGATTGTTGAATAACTTCTCAAGAGTAAACATGATTGAATATATTGGCATTCTTTTTAAATTAAGGGAGATCTGGCAGTGGTTTTAAAAATGCCTCCAGAGACCATGTCTTTTCTAGAAAAGGGATAAAGTTTAATTTCCTTTGAGTTGTAAATTATTGAATGAAGAAATGATGGTGTTTATGATATCACTTGCTTCTCTTTATATAAAAACTAAATGTGAAGATCCTAGGGAAAATGTGAGTTTGGATTCTTTATGATAATTGCAATTAAAGCAACACATTTCTTTTTACTAATAATTATTTGTTTTTATTAAAAATCTCAGCTCTACTTAAAAAGAAGTCATTGTCATTTTTCTCTTTAAATATTTAATGTAAATTATTCAAAAATATTTTAAATGTATTTTGTATTTTTTCTGGAATTAATTTTATGAGATGTTCATTGATTTAAAAAATAAATTTAGATATTTTGAAACATTAGTTTTCAGTTATATTTAGACTAGAGAGGGTGTCAGTATTTGTTCTGTTCTTCCTGTTTTTACCTATCTATTTTTTCTTTTGCTGACATCTCTCTGGCCTGGATTTTGTGGGTGTATTCTCTCAGGTTTTCAGGCCTCCTTTCTATAGTCTGAACCTATGAAAACATCTGGAATCTTCCACTCTCATGAACAATGGGAAAATGGGAAAACTTTTTCAACAAATCGGCAGCCTCTATCATTTTGTGCTTATGTTTTTCTGTTTTCTTGGTTCTTCATTCCTCATGCAACCATAGCAGGTTTTTACAATTGTCCACCATGTGCTGCTTCAAGTAGTGTTGGCTCTGGTTTCCTACCTGGCAAGTGTCCCACTCACTCATTCAGAGACCCTTTGAGCTTTCACAGACAAAGCCAGCACCTGGCCCTAAATGCTTTCTGAATCAGAAAAAAAATTATCTCTATCTGTTCTTTAGCTCATTATTTTCTATTTTTGTTACATTTTAGATACTGTTAATGTCTTGAAGCTTGATTTCCTATTTATATTCATCATCATTGTGACAGTGCCAAAAAAATTGCAACACAGTTAACAGAGCCATTAATTAAAGGAAACCTTTGATACTCTTCATCTTAAACATTTCACTAGGAAAGAAAATGCGAAGTTCTTTTTTTAGTTATAAAGAAATCATCACAAGGGGTACCTGACTTGTGTCTGTGATACTAACTTCTTAAAACTTATTTTATTTATATTATTTATGTTTATGGGTTTTTTTTTGTCTGCATGTGTGTGTCTTTATAACATTTACATGCCTGCTACCCTCAGAGGCAAGAAAATGGTGTTGTATATACTGGGGCTTGAGTTACAGACAGTTGTCAGTATCTTCTTGGGTTCTGAGAATTGAACCTTTGTCCTCTGGATCAGTCAATGTTTCTGACTACTGAGCTATCTCCCCAGTCCTAAGGAAGTCTGTTTCCTTGTATCCTGACATGCTTTCGGGACTAAGATAATACAACAGGAAAAAGCATGGTATCAAAGATGCTCAGTGCCTGCAATTCATGTTAGTCACATCAAGAAAGGAACATATTTCAAGTAGGATTGCTTTTGTATTAGTCATGCAATCATTAGTACTAATAAGGTGCTACTTATTCCTTCTCTTTTCAGTGTGAAGTTTGGATGGCCTGTCAAAAACCAGTGTTAGGCTGGATGCCTAGATTATATCTGCAAGAATTTTTTTCGTGTAAATGAACAATAATGCTAGTAGCGCATGTTTTTCTAAATGTTACCAAGTTTCAAGGATGCTAGCATTTTTTCTAACTGAAAGTAATTTTTCTTACATTAGATTCTGATCATGGTTTTTCCTCCCTGTCTCTTCCCCAATCCTCCCCACCACCCCACTCATCCAAAAACCCATGCCTTCTGTTTTTCTTTAGAGAACAAATCAGAGCAACACAAAACAAACAGAGAACCAAAAACAAAATAAAAACCAAGAAAATGCATGTAGAACATACACACAAACATATGCAAGCACATACATGCAAAAACTATAAAAAACACAAAATTGGAAACCGTAACATGTACGCAAAAGGCAAGTACATGTAAAACATGCCCAGTGAAACACAAAGCTAAACATCTCGTAAAACATCGTTGAGTTTATTTTGTGCTTGCCATCTACTGCTGGGAATCGGGCCTCAAGTGTGGTTTGTGTACATGGTAAGACCATTTTGGAGAAAACTAATTTTTCTTCTGTAAGCAGTTGTCAACTGGAGATGGCTTCTGGGTAGTGATGAAGGCTTGTTTCCATTTCTCACTCTCAGCAATGGGACTCTACATGGCTCAGATTTATGCAGATCCTGGGAATGTTCCTGAAGTCTTTGTGAGTTCATATGTGCATCAGCCCTAAGGTGTATAGAATGTCATGTTTTCCATCCCTCCTGGCGCTTATAATCTTTGTTCTTCCTCTTCCACAGAGTTCCCTAAGCCATTTGCGGAGTGACTTGGTGGAGACATCCCATTTATCACTGAGTTCTTCAAGGTTTCTCACTCTGCACAGGGTATAGGCACACACTACTTTGTTCACATTTACTGACAAAAGGAACTTTTATGACAATGGCTGACCAAAACTCTGATATATCTATGAGTATAGTAAAATGTTTCATTTTATTGCTATATTTCTTTAACAGAACAGTAGTGTTTAGTTTTACCCTAGCTCCATGGCCTATCTATGGCTGTCAAGCAGTATCTAGCATGGCTTCTGTTTGATGGAGCGATCCTTAAATCTTATCAGATAGTGGTTGGTTACTCCCACAAGTTTTGTGTCACTATTGAACCAATATATTGTGCAGTCAGATCACCATTTTAGATTTCAGGGGTTGTAATTGGGTTGGTTTTACCTTTCTCCTATGATAGTACACAGAGTGCTTTCTTAGTGCCATGACCACTAGTCAGAAGGGGTCAAGGCTCCAGTTAAGCACCAACTCAATTTCTCTGTGTTCAAGGAGACATGTGGATATGTCTTCAGCAATACAGTCTTATAACCAGAGAAGAACCAATAGTCTTAGAAGAGCCTAAGTTTCTAGGGGTTTTCCATGGGTACCATATGGTCAACAACTCAATTAGAAATCCAGTTATTGAAAATGGAGATTTTATTTGTCATTGACAATGAGCTAGTTGGGTCTTTGTCTCTCCAATCTTATGATGACTCTATTTAGATTTATTTCATATAAATATATATATATGAATATTCTTATATAGTACGTTTCCAAATGATTCCCAAAATGACCCTTAGTTTTAGTTATTTCTCCAGTTATACCCCCCACAATCCCTTGTCTCTCCAGTTCTCCATTTAATCCTCCTAATCCAGTCTTCCCATTGTCTCTCCATAACTTTTTTTCATTTCCTATACCTTAGGAGTTCCTTCCCTCCTTCTTGTTCCCTTACTCTATACCTAACCTCTGTGATTATATGGATAGCAGCATTACTACTGAAGGCTTAAAAGTTAGCATCCACATATAAGAGATTACATACCGCATTTGTCTTTGATCTGGGTTACCTATTCAGCATGATTTTTTTCTAGCCCATCAATTTACCTGCAGATTTTATGACTTTTTCTTTTCTTTTTAACAGCTGAATAATATCCCATTCTGTAAATGTACAAAGTTTTCATTATCCATTTATCTGTTGATGATGGATATCAGGACTGTTTCCAAATACTGCCTATTATGAGTAGAACATCAAAGAACATGGAGTAGCAAGTAACATTGTAGTAAGATAGAATTCTTGGGTTATATGATCAAGAATGATGTAAGTAGATAGATCTATTCTAAGTTTCATGAATAACCAGCACACTGATGTCTATAGTGACTGAACAGGTTTGAAATTTCAGTGTTCCTCTTACTCCATATACTAAACAGCATGAGCTGTCATTGGTTTTATTGTTCTTTCCCACTTTTAATGGTGTAAACTGGAATCTCAAAGTAGTTTTTTTGCATTTCCCTGATAACTAAGTATTTTTGAACACTTTAAAATGTATTTCTCAGCCCTTTCTCTTTTCCCTTTGAGAGCTCTGTTTAGTCTGTACCCCATTGTTAATTGGATTGTTTTTCTAATGTCTGTTATTTCAGTTCATGGTATCTTTGTCCATTTTGTAGCCTGACAATTTGTGCAAATGGTAGTGTCCTTTGCCATACAGAAGTTGTTCAGTTTCATGAGGTCTAATTATTAATTTTGATATCTTAGTACCTTTCCTGTATTTGTAGTGTCCTGTTTTAAAAGTCTTTTCCTGTATCAATGAGTTCTAGGCTATTTGCCATCTTATCTTCTATCAACCTCAGGGTATCTGATCTCATGTTAAGGTCCTTGATCCATTTGAAGGTAATGTTTATGAAGCATGATGAATATGGATCAGTTTGCACCCTTCTACAAAGGTCATCCAGTTTTCCCAACACCATTTGTTGAAAATGCTGTATTTTTCCCAATGTGTATTTTAGATCCTTTTGCTAAAAGTCAGGTGTTCATAAGTGTATGAACTTATGGCTTGGTCTTCAATTATTTCATTGATCGATGTATTTTTTATGTTAGTTCAATGGTGTTTTTATTGCTGTAGCTCTGTAGTACAACTTGAAATCTGGAATGGTGATACCACCAGCAATTCTTTTATTATTTAGGATTGTTTTAACTATACTGAACTTGAACATTATCCTTTCAAGTTCTGTGAAATATCATGTTAGTAGTTTGATGGGGACTGTATTGAATCTGTAGATTGCTTTTGGAAGGATGGCCATTTTCACTATACTAATCCTATCAATCCTTGAGTACAGGAGAGTTTTCTGTCTTCTAATATCTTCTTCAATGTATTAAAGTTTTTATTATACAAGTGTTACATTTCCTTGGTTAGAGTTACTCCAAGATATTTTGGAGGCTATTGTGAAAGGTGTTCTTTCCCTGATTTCTTTCTTAGTCCATTTGTCATTTATTTGTAAGAAGACTACTCTATGTGTGTGTGTGTGTGTGTGTGTGTGTATGTGTGTGTGTGTGTGTTATTATGTTGAAGGTGTTTATCACCTTTAGAAATTTCCTGGTGAAATTTTTAGGCCCTTTTATATATAAAATCATATCATCTGAAAATAATATTTTTACTTTCTCCTTTCCACTTTGTATCTCCTTATACCCCTCTGAGTTGTCTTATTGCTCTAGTTAAGACTGCAATTCCTACACTGAATTGATTTGTAGAGAATAGACATTGTTGTCTTGTTCCTGATTTTAGTGGAAAAGCTTTGACTGTCTTTCTGCTTAGGTTGATGTTGTGGATTTGCTATAAATCATTCTTATGTTGAGGTATATCACTGTATCCATAATTTAGGACTTTTATCATAAGGATATGCTGGATTTTGTCAAAGGCCTTTTCTGTATCTAGTGAAATGATCATGCGGCCTTTTTTTCTTTCAGCCTGTTTATGTGGTGGATTACATTTATACATTTATGTATGTTGAATCATCCTTGCATCTCTGGGATGAAGCCTACTTGATCATAGTATATTATCTTTTTGATGTGTTAGTAGATGATTTTACAAGCATTTTATTGAGAATTTTTGCAAGAAAATCATAAAGAAACAGGTCTGAAATTTCCTTTCTTTGTTGAGTTCTTTTTTATGTATTTGAGGTATCAAGATAATTGAGACCTCATAAAAAGAATTGGGAAATGTTGTTTCTCTTTCTATTTTGTGCAGTAATTTGAGAAACATTCCCACTAATTCTTCTAGTCTAGTAGAATTCTGTGCTGAATTCATCTAACACTGGCAATTTTTTTTGGATGGAAGCAACTTATTTACTGCTTTTATTTCACTAGGGGTTAGAGACCTGTTTAAGTTGCTTATCTGATCTTGATTTGAGTTTGATAGGTGGTATATATCAAAAAATGCATACATTTCTGTTATGTTTTTCAATTTGATAGAGCTCACATTTTAAAAGTATGTCCTTATGATTCTGTTGATATCCTTGGTGCCTATGGTTTCATCCCCATTTCTACCTCTAATTTTACTAATTTGTATAATCTGTCTTCATCTTTTAGTTACTTTCAGGCTGATAATTCAGGTCTTTGATTCACTTACAGTTAATTTGTTTATGGGTTAAGCGAATGGTCACACACCAAAGAGTGTATGGACAGTAAAATTTAGACTCAGTAGATGGGTTTTGGTTTTTGTTTTTCCTTAAGAGAATATAAAGTATTCTTGGATAGGAAAAGAAAGTGTATGTGTCTGAAAGGTGTTGGGAATTAATATGATTAATACATTAGTATGAAATGCTCAAGAGAAAATTAAGATGAAGGAAAAATTACATTAATTTGTTGTCCATCTTCATATGGATATTCAGTTTTCCCACCCTCACTCTTAAAGATGATGACTCTTCACCATTGTGTGTGTGTGTATACTTTTTAAATCTTTGTCAAAAGTTAGGTGGTGCAGCTGTGTTTGTCTCTAGGACTTCTACTCTATAAACTATGGTAGACTTGTCTGTTTTTGTGTTAGTACAAAGATGCTTTTATTGCTATGTTTCTAGTAATATAGTTTAAGATCAGGTAGTATGCAATTTCAAGGATTGTTGTTTGTGCTAAGAACTACTTGAACCATTCAGAGTACCTAGTGCTTCCACCTGAATTGTAGGAAATTTTTCTTTTATACTTTCATGGAGATTATATTGAATATGTAGCTCAATTTTTGGTACTATAGTCAAACTTACCACTACAAAGGAAAGACTAGCTTGTACATTAAGAAGAATTGAAACGTTACAATACTTACTTCTGTAATTTGCACTTATGTAGAGCAGCATGCAGATATAGTAGGAAGAAACCCAAACAAGCTCTACATAATGCAAGTCTGGTTTCTTTATTCCTTGTCATTTAGCTTTAACCTAGCTCTCCACCTTAACTGAGACCTGATTCTTTACCCTGTGTGACAGTTTCTTACCTTCCAAGCAAACATTCCACAAAACTGAAGGAGTGGGGTGTGTCTGTGTGCCTTAAAATCTGTAAAACATTTAAGTGAAGGGTTAGCTTAATTTGGGAGACCATAAACTTTTATTGTTTAATTCTTTTTTGATTTTACATGCGAACCCCAGTTCTCCTCCCTCCCCTTCTCCCAATCCTCACCTATCCACTTACCACATTTCATCCACTCCTCAGAACAGGTAAGGTTCCTCTCCCATGTATCAAGGCTGAGCTGAGCGAGGTATCCCACCATAGGGAACAGACTACAAAAAGCCAGTTTATATACTTGGGATAAGTCCTGGTCCCACTGACAGGGTCTCCCCCAACAGATCAAACCACATAACTGTCTCCCACATTCTTCTTAGGGCCTAGTTTAGTCCCATTCAGGTTTGCAGCTGTCAGTCCAGTGTCAATGAGCTCCCACTAGCGTGGATTATCTGTCTCTGTGGTTTTCTCCATCATGATCTTGACCCCTCTTGCTCATATCGCCACCTCCCTCTCTTCAACTGAACTCCAGGAGCTCAGCCCAGTGCTTGTCCGTGGGTCACTGCATCTGCTTCCATCAATTACTGGAAGTAGGTTCTATGATGACAATTAGGGTAGTCACTAATCTGATTATAGAAGAATACCCATTCAGGCACCCTTTCTACTATTGCTTAGCTGGGGTCATTCCCGTGGATTGCTGAGAATCTCTCTAGCACTAGGTTTCTCCCTAACCCTATAATGGCTCCCTCTATCAACATCTCTCTTTCATTATGCTCCCCCTCCATCCTTTCCCCAACTTGGCCTTCTCAATCCCTCATCCTTCAAATTCCCATTCCCTGTCCACTCACTTCTATCCCACCCCACTTTACACAGACATCTCAATTATACCCCTTTCCAGGGCCCTCCATGTGTGTCTCTCTTAGTGTCCTCCTTTTTACCTTGCGTCTCTGGGGTTGTGGATTGCAGCCTGATTATCTTTAGCAAGACAATTCTTCACAGACCTTGAAAGAAAAATACTCAACTTCATATGAAAAGATAAAACACCCAGCCAAAACAATCCTGTACAATAAAGGAACTTCTGGATACATCAGTATGCCTGACTTCAAGTTCTACTACAGAGCTATTGTAATAAAAACAGTTTGGTAGTAGTATAAAAACTGACACACGGATCAATGGAATTGAATTGAAAACCCCTGATATTATTCCACTCACCTATGAACACTTGATTTTTGACAAAGACACTAAAATTGTACACTAGAAAAAGAAATCATCTTTTAAAAAATGGTACTTGCATGACAGAATGTTAATATATAGAAGAATGCAAATATATCCACATCTATCCACATGCACAAAACTCGTGTCCAAATGGATCAAAGACCTCAACATAAATTCAGTTTACACTGGAGCTAATAGAAGAGAAAGTGGGAAGTAGCCTTGAATGCATGGGCACAGGAGACAACTTCCTAAATATAATACCAGTAGCACAGACACTGAGAGCAACTATTAATAAGTGGAACCTCACTGAAACTGAAAAGCTTCTGTAAGGCAAAGGACACAGTCAATAAGGCAAAATGACAGCCTACAGAATGGGAAAAGATCTTCACCAACCTCACATCTGACAGAGGGCTAATCTCCAAAATATATAGGCAACTAAAGAAACTAGATACCCAAATACCAAGCAATCCAATTAAAAATGGGCTACAAATCTAAACAGAGAATTCTGAGCAGTCAAAAGACATTTAAGGAATTGCTCAATATCCTTAGCCATCAGGGAAATACAAATCAAAACAACTCTGAGGTACCATTTTACCCCTGTCAGAATGTCTAAAATCAAAAATACTGGTGACAGCTTATGCTGGAGAAGATGTGGAGTAAAGGGAACACTCTTCCATTGCTGCTGGGAGTGTAAACTTGTACTGCCACTTTGGAAATCGGTATGGGGTTCGTTTTGTTGTTGTTGTTGTTGTTGTTGTTGTTGTTTGGTTTTATGAGACAGAGTTTCTCTGTATTGTTTTGGAGGCTGACGGTCCAGCCCAGCTTTGAACTCACAGAGATCTGCCTGCCTCTGCCTCCGGAGTGCTGGGATTAAAGGACATTTGTTCCACTATGTTTATAGCAACACTATTTTTAACCTCTAGAATCTGGAAACAACCTAGATGCCCCTCAACTGAAGAATAGGTAAAGAAAATGTGATACATTTACACAATGGAGTATAGCTCAGTGGTAAAAATCAATGACATCTTGAAATTCCCAGGCAAATGGACGGAACTAGAAAAAACAATCCTGAGTGGGGTAATTCAGACCCAGAAAGACAAACATGGTATGTACTCACACATATGTGGACATTAGAATAAAAGCAAAGGATAACAAGACTACAATTCACAGTTTTAAAAATCTGCAATTTTTAAAAGAAAGTACCTTCCAAAAAAGGATATATACTAATGTGAGAAATAATAGGTGAGCTCAAAGATGAATCAAAAATCAAAGCACAATTGGGAGTCATAACATAATTCAGGCTGTATGATGAGATGCCAGGTGGATTATATTTTAAAATACTATGTTGAAAATGTATACACACACACATGCTTCCACTTAGAATGACTTCAATTGTTCAATTTGCCATTATTTTTGAACCATAAAGAGGTAAAATATAACTAATAAGAAAATGAGCTTGTTTGACTGTGTGATTCATTTTCTTGACAGTATAAAATAAACTGCTTGAAATAACAATTTACAGGAGGCAACATTTATTTTGGCTCACAGTTTCAAGTGTCAGTCTGTAGTAATGTTCGGATTGCTCCATGACCTTTGTCCTGGGGTGAATGAGAACATTGTGGTGAAAAAGACTGAGGATGAGGACAAACTTTTCCCATAAAGGCCCCTCTTCAATAATTCATCATTGTTCCCACCTTTCTCCAGAAAATGCACTGTCTCTTTCAACATTGCTGGTTATACCGGCTTCTCTGTAAAGACATCCTGGAAGACAGTAGGTGCTCTACTACCAGGACCAACAGAAATGAGGGATTGCTGAAGGTCTCCCTCCAGTCTCTGAAAATGAGCACAGCTGACTCCTGTGAGTTTTCCCAGCCTGGTAACTACCACAGCTAAATCTAGCACCATTTGATAAACATGGAAGATCGCCTTTAGGAGACTCCAGGTTCTGCTTTCATGTGTTCAAGTTAACAACCAAATAAGCAGCTCCCATCACAATTCTCAAATTACATTTTTTATGAGGGAATAAAACCCAAAAGGCTGTGTTTCAGGACAGTGAGCTGTGTAGTAAAATAAGCAGAATAGCTACTCAGCTTGATGCAGTTCTGTGAAGGAAAATCTTCACCACAAGGAAGAGAATTCTGCTGAAGGGCTCAGGGGTGGGGGTGGGTTCCTGTACTTACAAAGCAGAAGGGCAAGGAAGGGAATGTTATGGAGCAAGGAAGCAGGAGGGAGAAAAGGAGAAACCATTAGTGAAATCCTCACCTGAATAGGGGACTACGTTGATATGAAGATTCAGAGAAACTGTGGTGTGGGGAAACCTTTACCCCTCAGTCCGTCCCTGCGTGGTCTCCCCTCTAAGGAACATTTCCTGAGGAACATCCACCAGACATGTCAGCATGCATCTTGTCAAAAGCCGAGCAACTGTTATAAATCCAAAGTTCTACACACCCTGCAGCCTGTTAATAAAACTATTTCCAAGATAGTTGAGTCAACCAAAGGCAAGTTGGTAAAATAGATAATTATTTTAATATTGATGACCAGATATGCTCAGCATCTGTCATGGGCAAAGCTGTATATTCTGATGACTCTGGTTTGGAGTAGGAAACATTTGTCAATGTGTTAACTCAAGGATATTGAGTTACATATTTCCCTTTTAGTTTGCTAGGGCTTCCTGTGTGCTCCTATTATAACAAATTGCCTTCCAAGTTGCTCACTGGCTGTTTTTTTTAACCTGTGCTTGTATTTATTTTTTTATATTTTATTTTCCAGTTTAAATTTAGATAAGAAACGAGGTTGCTTCACAAGTCAGTTCCAGGTCCCTCTCCCTTTCCCTCCCCTCCTCCCGTGCCCTCCCCCCAACCCCCCCTCCCGTTATCCCCTCATTCCCCCAGGGAGGGTGAGGCCCTCCATGGGGGTGTCCATAGTCTGTCATTTCATATAGGGCAGGGCCTAGACCCTTCCCCAAGAGTTCAGGGTGAGAGTGTACCTCACATTGTTCTATGGGAGTCCAAAGTCCGTGTGTATACTTGGGATGGGTACTGATCTGCTGCCCAAGGCTGAATAGATTACCTAGGCCTCCTCACTGACACCCAGATTCAGGGGGTCTTGATCAGTCCCATGCTGGGTTCCCAGGCTGATGCCTGGGATTCAAAAGTTAGCCTTTGTCTGGTCAGCTGTTTCTGGGGGTTAAACCAGCCTAGGCTTAATCCCTTTGATCAGCAGTCCTCCCTCTCTGTTACTGGCTTTCTTGAGTTCAGCTCAGTACTTAACCCAGGGAGTCTGCCTCTTCTTTGATCAGCCACTAAATAAAGTTTCAGTTTCCCAGACTCTCTGGCCATAGGATTGTAGGCTGGCACTCCCCAGATCTATGTCTAAAATCCATATATGAGAGAGTACATGCCATGTTTCTCTTTTTGTGACTGAGTTACCTCACTCAGGATGTTTTCTTCCAGTGTCATCCATTTGCCTGTGAATCTCATGATTCCATTGTGTTTTTCTGCTGAATAGTACCCCATTGTGTAAATGTACCACATTTTCTCTATCCACTCTTCGGTTGAGGGACATTTAGGTTGCCTCCAAGTTCTGGCTATTACAAATAAAGCTGCTATGAACATAGTGGAACAGACATCTTTGTTGTATGAATGGGCATCTTTTGGATATATGCCTAAGAGTGGAGTGGCTGGGTCTTGTGGTAGGTTCATTCCCATTTTTCTGAGTAATCTCCATACTGATTTCCAAAGTGGCTGAACCAGTTGGCACTCCCACCAGCAATGGAGGAGTGTCCCCCTTTAACCACATCCTCTCCAGCATAAATTGTTATTGATGTTTTTGATTTTAGCCATTCTGACAGGAGTGAAGTAGTATCTCAGAGTTGTTTTGATTTGCATTTCCCGGATGGATAAGGATGTTGAGCACTTTCTCAAGTGCCTCACAGCCATTTTAGACTCCTCTATTGAAAACTCTCTATTTAGTTCTGCAGCCCACTTTTTAATTGGGTCCTTTGATGTTTTGGAGACTTGCTTCTTGAGTTCTTTGTAAATTTTGGAGATCAACCCTCTGTCAGATGTGGGATTAGTGAATATTTTTCCCATTGTGTGGGCTGCCTTTTTGTCTTGCTAACTGTGTCCTTTGCTTTACAGAAGCTTCTCAGTTTCAGTAGGTCCCATTAATTAATTGTTGATCTCACTGTCTCTGCTACTGGTGTTATGTTCAGGAAGCTGTCTCCTGTACCAATTTGTTCAAAGGTACCACCTACTTTCTCTTCTAAGAGGTTCAGTGTGGCTGGATTAATGTTGAGGTCTTTGATACATTTGGACTTTTTTGTGCATGGCGATAAACATGGATGGATCCGCATTCTTCTACATGCCAGTCTCCAGTTATGCCAGCACCATTTGTTGAAGATGCTTTCTTTATTCCATTGTATATTTTTAGCTTCTTTGTCAAAGATCAGATGTTCAAACGTGTGTGGGTTAATACCCGGGTTTTCAATTCGATTCCATTGGTCTACCTGTCTATTTTTGTGCCAATAACACGCTGTTTTCAGGACTATAGCTCTATAATAGAGCTTGAGGTCAGGGATGGTGATGCCTCCGGACGTTGCCTTGTTGAACAGGGTTGTTTTGGCTATCCTGGGTCTTTTGTTTTTCCATACAAAATTGGTTACTGTTCTTTCAAGGTCTGTGAAGAATTGTGCTGGGATTTTAATGGGGATTGCATTGAATCTGTAGATTGCTTTTGGCAGGATTGCCATTTTTACTACATTGATCCTACCTATCCAAGAGCATGGGAGATCTTTCCATTTTCTGAGGGCTTCTTTAATTTCTTTCTTTGAAGAGTCAAAGTTCTTACGATACAGGTCTTTCACTTGTTTGGTTAGCGTTACCCCAAGGTATTTTATGTTGTTTGTGGCAATTGTAAAGGGTGATGTTTCTCTGATTTCTCTTTCAGCCCTTTTATCATCCGTATATAGTAGGGCTACTGATATTCTTGAGTTGATCTTGTAGCCTGCCACTTTGCTGAAGGTGTTAATCAGCTGTAAGAGTTCCCTGGTAGAGTTCTTTGGGTCATTGATGTAAACTATCTTATCGTCTGCAAACAGTGAAAGTTTGACCTCTTCCTTCCCAATGTGTATCCCCTTGATCCCCCTTTGTTGTTTTTAACAGTTCCTATTGAACAGCTTCACTTATTTTATAGGTATACATTTATTTCATCCCCCTGGCTATAAATTTATTTGATCTGGCAATTTCTGGTTCACAAAACCCTCCACCAGAGCATTCCTTGGCTATGAGATCATTCTTACTCAGATCATATAGAGAGAGTATATCTCTCCACTGCCTGTAGTTCTGGCAGCATAATGATGCTTCTGGCCTCTCTGTCTCACTGGGGTTTTCTTACAGGGCTGTTGCACATTATTCCTGAGAGGCAGTTGTCTTAGACGCTTTACATTTTAATGTATTTCTAATTGCTATCCCTTGAATCCAAGCAGTTAAGCTCTGACACATTTGTTTGCACACTCTGCTCCCTCAGCAATATGCCAAAGTCTTTAGTAAACCATCAAGGCAAAGTTGCTACTAGCTCACAGTGTCTTCCCTGTGTTGCAGAAAGAGCCCTGTATCTATTTTTAATTGCTATAAATTTTAGCTCAATGAACAGAATAAGGTTCAGTTAGCAAATAGAATAACACAGAAATTTGCTGGAACATGGCTATTTCCACTCATTTGCAATTTTTTCTACAATGCTTTTTGTGTTACAACTAGAATGCTGATTGCCTGGTGGTGGTGGTACATGTCTTTAATCCCAGCATTCAGGAGGCAGAGGCAGGTGGATCTTTGTGAGTTTGAGGCCAGCCTGGTGTACAGAGAGAGTGCCAGGAAAGGCTCCAAAGCTACACAAAGAAACCCTGCCTCAAGTAACCAAAATAAATAGATAAATAAATACATAAACGAATAAATAAATAAATAAATAAAGTCTTCTTAGAATGCTGAGTCATTGTGAAAGACATGAATAGCCCACAGAATCAAAAATGGACAGATTGTCAAGCCCTAGTTAAACAACAAGGAAAGTTAGTGTGGTTTTAACCCACCTGTGCCTCTGTACTCTTAAGTCAAATCTCCCAATTTTTCTTTTCTTTCCTTTTGCTTGAGTCTTGGTACTCTTTCTTTGAATGCCTAAAACAAAAGCTGAAAAGTTCTCAGAGATATTCCAGTGCTCTGATTGCAGCTATCTTCACTGACATATGTGATTTTCTTCCCAATTGGCCATTAGGGTAGAAAATTACCTTCATCCAGAGTGGTCTTTAATTGGTTGGAAACGGGTTTGCAGTTTCTCACCAGGGTTGCTCCATTTTCAGTGCTCCAGACTCTTCGTGATTATTCATACCAATATCCTCCAAGGAAGTTTGGAATCCTGGATGGCGGTTTCTGCCTTTCCATATCCAGGAAGTTTCCAGCAGGGCTTCTCAGTATCTCTAACCTCCAGACACCCATTTTATATCCTAACTTTATACCCTAATTGCTGATTAAAGATTGCCACAGTAAAAATGGAGTCTGCTATGTTGGGCTACTCCTGTGAGCACCCTTTTCCAAAGTACTTTCACCTCAGGTCCTAGCTGACCTTACCTTTCTAATAGGTTGCAATAACTTATTCCTAATCATATATTAACAGCACGCAAACTTTCCATGTCATCCATGCAAGTAAGACATGGTCAACAACAAAACAGCCACAAGTCTTAGCGAGCAAATGTGCAGATTCTTTTTTAATAAGTTGTTTTCCTTTTTTGTCATTTCAATGGATTTGAAATGTCTCTGGCCACCAGAGATCAGAAGACAATCAAGCAAGTAGTGTTCTCCCTCTCTCTCTGTCTCTGTCCCTGTCTCTGTCTCTGTCTCTCTCTGTCTCTGTGTGTGTGTGTGTGTGTGTGTGTGTGTGTGTGTGTGTGTGTGTGTCTGACTGTCTCATGTTGGCAGCCTGTGAGCTACATCTGCTCTGGAAGGAAGCCACATCACACAGTTTGTTGATTTGTTTTAGGCAGTGAGCAGTCCCTGTTGCACTGAATTTGTTTGTTTTGGCTACCTGCCCCAGTGCCTGCCTTTACCTTGCCAAATGAGGGGTTTCAAATTCTTTTGGAATTTCTCCATGATAGCCCAACATGTCCCCCCCACCACCACCACACATGTACACACACACACTGAGGAATTTGATTCCGTTAGCTGTGTCTGCATCTATACTGGACCATACATCTGATATTATTAAGAAATCCCCTATAACACATGGCATGCTTACACCATTATCTCTTATATTCATTGTCAGTTTGGCTTTCCCTCAGGTACTCATGTAGCTTTTCTCTTAATTACAGATACATCTGTGCTC